GTAGTATATGTAGGTCGAGGTAAAGAATCAAAACTATGATATCACAAAGAAGATACCGTTGGGGAGTCATCGGCATAACTGACGTCCCGTCGGCGTCGCCAACAGCAGCACATACTCTTCGCTTCCCAATAATGCTCGCAAGCGTAGGCCTTTCATCTTATGCATTGTCCATTCAGACAACCAATGCTCAACGAGTGCAGGACACACGTTTGTCATTGGTGGATCGATTAACGCGGATAAGTCAGCTACGAGGCACACGTTGAGAGCACACACGGCCCGCCGCATCAATGTCACCCCTCCGTTTATTCGCCCATGTTCCAAAAATTTGTATGGTTAAAATCTAGATTCCGGACAGCTCTGTCGGTTTACCGCTTTGTCTAGCAGTTTGGGTCATAAGCTGTACAGCTGGATGACTAATTGATGAGTGGCTTTGGTGTCCATTCTAGTGTTTTACAACAAGCGTTTTAACAACCCCAACACCATCCATAAAGATAGCAAGCATCTGTGATATTGTGTACGTGCCTTATTTTTTAATTCACGCATTTGTGAACGTGAAGGTCCCGCCTAGACCTGAACGTTACTCGTACTTTTATCCCAATGCTCACACTATTAGCGCGGTAGTGATGAAGCCAGTGACGAAAGTGCTCTGCGTAGACGCTGAGCTCAACACACTTTAGATGCAGGTAGTAGAGCTGGGCCGCGTGATATGTGACGTTGCAAAAAGACGACGACGCGACAGTGGCGAAAGCCATGGCTTCACCCGAACTACTGGCATTCAGCACCTCGGTGAAGGTGAAATTCTGAGCTGAGGGCACTGTGTGCTTTCTGATGCCAAAGCGTGAAAGAGAGAGAGAGGGAGGCAGAAAACCTGTCGTCAGAAGTATTAGCAGCAGCAACACTCATGCAAACGCAAGTACACTCACCTGATACCAAGAGTGTGCCCGTAGCATGGGATCGCGCAGAAGTACAATGATCTTAGCGTTGAGAAGAAGAGCAGCCATTTGCACCACGGCTAGAGAGGAGTCAAAGTGTCTGCCTTTTCAAAGTTAACGTCAGTGATGACTGGACTGTAAAACTGGTCGTCGTAGCAGGCGACACCCTTGCTGTAGATAGTGGAACTGCTAAAGAACTGCACCTCCTCATAGGGTGAGTGTGGAAGAAAGTGATTTGGCTACAGATTTGGGTGCATAGCCATAAAAGCCAGTAACGCGGTCGTGCCTGTGTGAAAAGGCAGAAGCGTTAGTGAAGAAAATAAGAAGCAAATTGTCAGAGAATGAGCTGAGTATGATGCAGCGGTGGTTTCGAGATAGACAAGATATTTTTTTGATCTAATTAATTTCTGCTAACTCGCTATTTTGTGACAGTAATTTTTTAGAGGTGGTGTGGCAAATCAAGTTTTCTCTACTCTAAAACTACCTTTTGGTACACAGTAGTCTGGCTTGTAGAGTGACGGGGGTGTTTATTACATCTGCTGTTTTGCTGAAGGAGTAAGCTGGTTGCAGTAGTTAGGCGCCATCATTTTGCTATTAAAATTGACCAAGTGACGTGTATCTGACCACTGATTCATTGAAGGAAATTCAGAGGGCTCTGTTAATGACTCGGCGGTTCGTTGGTTTATACTGCCCCAGAGTTACCCTCTGTGCAAGCTCAAGGGAGACAGGCAGTGGGAAGACGCTAAGGGATGCTCGATTTCACATGCGTGTCTCAACTGCAATGAAGCGATTTGGAATTTACTGGCACTTGCAGCTTTGATGGTCATTTGCAAAGGATGTTGGATGATCTTGCATTTTGCCTCTATTAAATGAAAGTATCCCTTCAGATGGTTTTAATGTCTCCAACAATAGCCATGCCATCATCAGTGTTGGTCCGCATAACTAATGACATTATTCTGCCCCTCTCATCGATATCGTAAAATGCCTCTTCTTCAACGAGCAACTTTGTGCTTTGTGTTGGAGGTGCTGTGGATATCACGCCTTTCATGCCCTGCTACTTCTAGTAACGAATGAAGAACCCTCCGTCACACATTTGTGACACAAAGCAAAGGCAGTCTGTAATGGTGTCACATATGTGTAACGTTGGCAACGAGTCCAACATCCATTTATCTTGAGCTAGTGCCCATATCAACTATAAGTTGCACATAGTGGAGGGGTGCCGTATTCGTCTAGATGCCATTAAGCATTCAGTCCCATAAATTTGCTGTTTATCGCCTCGTTTATAGGCACATTGTTTGCTGACTGGCTGACTAATTAGGCTAGGGGATATGAGATGTTAAGAATTGTGGAAGAGTTTGCCTAAGACCTGCACGTTCTCAAACCACAGGTTCTGCCCTCCATTTATGGCAGTTGCAAAACCATGCTTTTGGATCAGTGGCAAAGAATCGCAGGTGAGATTAGATGGCGTGGTGTGAAAGGAAGCATTTTCGTACCACTTAGTGATCCCGCGATGACCGCCACTCATTACATTCACCTGAAGCAGTGTTTGCATAATCATGCGAGGTAGTTTGCGAGTTTGCCAAACGTTTTACGCAAAAGATCGTTACAGAGCTGTCTACTGTGCATGCATAAAGGCGTGCGTTGGGTGATTACGAGTCACAATTACCAACTCTCCACTAACTGGATAGAAG